CCCCCCCCCCCCCCCGTCTGTACTCTCCACGTACGTAAATAAACAAACACAGAAAAGGTATAGACAAAAAAAAATGAAAAGGGACAAGGAAAAAGGCATACATCAGTGACCACAAAAAAAACGGATACTTAAAAAAAAAAAAAAAAGGCGGATAAAGTAATGGTGACTAATCATGACTCGTCGTTATCGTTTGGGTCGCGTAAGTCTGCCCGCCCAACAATTGCATAACTAAGGGCGTGCTCACACTAGGTAGGATTTCTCTACTGGTTTCTGGACATAATTTCGATCAGATACATCCAGGTCCGGCCGTAATTAAGGTCACATAAATTTGACATTGTGCTAGAGTGAATATGCTCTAATGAAGTTATGTAGTTAGGGCATCCACCGACGGAACAGTAGCTGTGCGTTCAGTTCAAGACCTAAAAATAGACACAGGATTTTTCTGGATATCATTGCGGTCAGATACATCCACGTCCGGCCGTAATTAAGGTCAGATAAATTTGAGATTGTGCTAGTGTGAGCGTGCTCTAATAATGTGAGCGCGGTCTAATAAAGTTAAGTATTTTGGGCATCCATTGACGACAGGTAGCTGTGCGCTCAGTTCGAGACCTAGAAATAGACACAGGATTTTTCTGGATGTCATTGCGGTCAGATACATCCACGTCCCGCCGTAATTAGGGTCAGATACATTTGAGATTGCGCTAGTGTGAGGGCGCTCTCATGAAGTTAAAAGTATTTTTAGGGCATCCATCGACGACTGGCAGCTGTATGTTCAGTTCGAGACCTAAAAATAGACACAGAACCTGCCGTCTTCAACCGAATAGAACGCCGGTAAATATCTCTGTACCTGGACTGAAAGTTGCCGAAATACAGCGATAATGACAGAGCGTTCAACTCGGGTGAAGACTGTAGTGACTTTCCTGTTTTCTCCTTCTCTTTTCCTTTCCAAGTCCAAATTAGATTCCAGATGAGTTTGTGACGAATTGAAAAAAAAGAAAGGCGACAAATTCATCTCTAACATTCTTCGTTTCATTTACTCCAATTGGATTTCCTCGCTCCACTCACACAACTCCAAACGTATGCATGCGGTCGTCTGTTCGGTCCGGATACATTCCGACTGTTTCGTGAGTCCTATATTGTATCTGGATCACGAGCAGACCAGATACATTTCCAATGTTGTGCAACTGGAGCGAGGAAATACAAAATACAAAATCATTTTCGAAAATTGAATTCGTATTTTTTTCACACAGCCATTTTCCTCAGCCATGACTTTATTATTATTCCTCTTTCCTCTTTCCCTTAAAAGCCTCTTCTCCATAACTTCATTATCGGATTTCTCACCTCAAAAAGACATAACTTGATTATTAATTTATAATACCATTTCAGACCGAGTTGAGGCTCAGCGACTCCCTTTTTTTTTTTTTTCCCAACCCTTTTCTTTCCTTCCTTTCTCCCCTCTGCACCTCTTCATAAGGTGCCCGCACCT